GACAAAATATTAGTTTCGTGTTATGCGTGGAGTAAAATTTTGATTCTTTCAAGTTCCAAATAAGTTATACAAATAGATATTAAATATTGTACTTACTACTAAAGTTCATTAGCGTGGAAAACTTATATAAAATCAATGCAATTAAAAACTAAAATTAGAGAATGTAACTGAAGATCGATCATAAACTAGTAGTTTATCGTTGATTATCACTATTTTGATTATCATTATTTTTTATTGTCAAATATAAGATTGTATGGTATGCAGATAGAATGTATTAATCTTACACTGAAGCCTTTCACTGAAGCTCCAAAAAAGGCTTACATGCAAACCATATTATGAGTGGAGCCTTGATCTGAGTTAGGCTTCGACGTACGAACATGTGTTACTTAGTAATATAGCACATATTAAGACACGTATAAGACATGCTATTTACAGAGTACTCCACAATAAGACAAAATCAAACATATCTTATTCGAATAGTGGTGTAAAGATACCGTATCTTGCTGTCTCATATAGCGGATTTACGGAATCAGTTTGATTATTGTTCTTTTGAGGTAGAGTCTATGCGTTCAAACTCTATCGCGCGGGCAAAGAACGTCAGGGATGGACGTTTCCAATCTTACCTCGCTTTAGGAGCTCTTGGTTACATACCGAGCCGGATCTGAAATTCTCGGTCCTATATAAAAAAAAATACTAACATAATTTTAATATTTTTTTTTGAAAACTGATTTTTTATCAACTATACATTTATATTTGTTTCTCTGAAATAAAACTACGAAAAGCTTACTTAATATTTTACATTTTATCATATTATTTCACAAAATACTATTTTTTTTATTTTTTTTCTCATCAAATAAACATATTTTAAATAAATTTATAAACAAATTTTTTTTTAAATAAGTGGAGTCCCTATAAATTGGAGGCCCATTCAAATGTTTCAAAAAAAGTAATGTGCTCAAATCCGGCTCTGGTTACATAATCGCATAGCTAGAGAAGTTTCATAGAGCATCCTTCCTTCCTATTAGGATTACGATGCTCTGTTTTTTCTTTGTTTTGCCTTTTGGCTTGGTTGTAAAACATTCGCTTGTCTCTGTTTCAAACTCCATAAGCTAAAAAGAAAACTAATTTTATTCGAATAGTGAAAAAAATAAGAATGGATACCAATAGGTGACTGCAAGACCAAATTCGACATATATAAAAAATAAATAAAAATATAGCATCACGAGATATAGTACCACGATTCTTTTATTATACTGCTATTTTTAATAGGGCTTGACATTACTCGATTTGGAGAAAATCAAGAAAATCAATGTTTTTTGGGTTTATAATAATTATTATTTTTGGAAAAATTATTACAATCAATCATCGTAAAGATAGATGGGTACTGAGAGATGAGTTTTTGGGTTGTAAAAAACAAAATTGAAAAGTTAGAAGAATTGGTGTTGGTTGTTGAAGATGTCTTGGGTAAGGTTTGTGGTGGTGTCAGTAGCAGCAAATTCACTCACAACAACAAAATCTTCGTGATTTGTGTACCTCGTGATTTTCGTGTTACACTGATTTCGTACCATATTGAATCATTTTAGCCAACAAAACAATGGTCCCTTTAGGTAGACTCAGTCACAATTAATGCTATATCGTGATCTTCGTGTTATACGTACCATTTAGTGTCAATGTTAACCAACAAAGCATGGCCCCCTTCAGGTATGAAAAGAAATGTTGATCTCTATTCGAAGCTTGGATAAGTATTAAATAAAGTATTATGATACTATTCATTAGTTAAAAAGAAATCATTCGTATTAATGCATAACATTCGACACTTGTTCAATTCGCATTTATCTTGATTTCTGTCAAATGACTGACTACCTGCAATTCATAGCTAAAGACTTATTTCCTTATTAACAAAAAGGTTTAAAGCTTGTAGATATATACTTCATCC